GGTAAGTAAAAAAAAATTTTTCTCTGGCTGGCCCCCCCACTTTCAAAAATGCTACGCCACTGCAAGGTCGGCACTCAGAGTCATTAAGCAGTGAGGGATCTTTATCGTGCCAATGCTTTGCGTGACAAGGGACCTCGGTTTTTAATGTCTCATACGAAAGATCCGCAACTTTCACTTCAATTGCCGAGCGCCTGACGAAGGAACAGCTGTCACTCGAGGCCAAGATTACAACTCACGACCTCCCGATTACGGAAGTTTCGCTCTAATAAATGATTGTAATGGTACGAAAATCTCTGTAGGAGTCAATGCAGCTTTGCAGCGTTCATTTTTAACAATTAGTTTAAAATTGTTTTAGAGATTTAAAGCACGCAGTCAAACAAAATACTTTCAAACCCAAGATGGAACATTAGCAGTTCAAATATGTCTTGTCGCTTGGGATGTTCTCATTCATGGGGTATAAATTTTTGTCCCCCGCTTGAAAAGTGTGGGATATTAATTGGGTCTGTCCGTCCGTCTGTCCGTCATTCTGTCTGTCTGTAACGCTTACGTTTCCACACCATATCTCGAGAACCCTTTGAGCTTTTGCAATGAAATTTTGCGTAGCAGCTCCTTATGGACTAAAGAAAAACCCTATTGATTTTGAGGTCCAAAGGTCAAGGTCATATATTCGCAAATTCTTTTTCTTATAACACTTTCGTTTCCGCGCAATATCTCGGGAACCCTTTGAGCTTTTGCAATGACATTTTACAGAACAACTCCCTGTGGCTTAAAGATTGATTTTGAGGTCAAAAGGTCAAAATTCCAGGTCATAAATATATACATTCTGTTTGTGTGCAACACTTTCGTTTTCGGGCGATATTTCAAGAAGATGTTGAGCTTTTGCAATGTAATTTTATACCAAAAGTCCCTATGACCTCTCTCACCCCTCTCAAAGTGCCCCGCCCCGTTTGTTTTATTAGTATTTATTGTATTACATGTCGCTATTTTTGGCACAGGGACATGAAGGAGAGTTATTCCGTATGAAAAAGGTTCTCGGCTGACTTTATATTTTACATCTATTAGAACTTTTTAATAAAGGTTAAATTAGACACCATGCATTGTGTAAAATTTTTACAATATCGAACGTATATACATGTATGTGTCTTTATCTGTGCATATTATTTTTGTTAAAGTACAGCAGTTCCGTGGTGTAGTGGTATGTCTCCCGCTTCACATGTGAGAGGTCCCGGGTTCGATTCCAGGACGATCCATTTTTTTTTTCCGAAATACTTTTTTTTACTAAATGATAATATTCAGCATGTGAAATGAAAAAAGTATGAGGTCTAGCTTGTATAACCTCATAATATCATTACAGTGTGATAAATATTCCATATAAAAGGAATCTTCTATACACATAAGCAATCAAATCTTTATATCCATACTGACATATTTTATTTGATTCAGTATACATGTATACATTTAAGGATACACCAAAGGTTTCCAAAGGGCAAAATTTAATTTGCTTGTAATTCTTTCATTAACAAAGATAACATATTAAAAGTATATATCATTTGAAAGCTTGTTAAATTCACTATTTAATGATCTTAATTTAAATTTTCATTTTTATCTTATTAAAAAATTATTAATATTTTAATGTAAATATTGGTGCATTTATATTTTATAAATCAACGTTTTTGTATTCCACCTCTCAAAGTCAAAATTCTGCCTCAATGTAGACTAAAGATTGAACTTTAAAACCGTATCTCAGATTTTTGATAAATCTTCTTATTCAAAAGTTACATCCATTTGTCTTTCAATGTTACCAATTTATTAGCCTAATTCTACATTTCCCCCAGTAATTCGAGAACTGAGCAAGATATCAAAAATCTGAGATACGGTTTTGTGAAAACACATTTGAGACACATTCTGGCCACTTTTCAGAGAAATTGGTCAATAAATAAGGGAGCTGAATCCTTTCAAATAATACCACCAACTGTCTGATCTTACTTTACAGTAGAGGGCAAAAACCCATTACACAACAAAGTCTGCCAAAGCTGGAAATATATGACACCTCGGAGATTCAGCTTTGGATACCTGTCACTTATCCATATTTCCTATGCATATTCACAAGAATGGGAGGTTCTGTTCTTTATTTAGGTGCTTTTAATGAAGTAAAATAGGTTCAATTCTGAATCAGAAAGATTTCCCGGCAAAATGGCAAGAGTTAAGCTCCACCTCCTATTTCATGGTCATTAGTGACCTGTTAGATCTCCTTCCCTAAATCTAGAGTCCCTGTAGTTTAATTACTGATAGTGGCTAGTGAAGAATTCCCCAAGTGGTCACAGTGATTTATTGCTCCTTTCAGAAGCAGGCAGTTACAGACCAAATCAGAAGCTTCAATAACGGCACATTCACATGTGTTAGTGTTTATGTTTGATTATTGTTAAATAATTAGAAAACCATTTAATAATCAGCAAGAATTTTTCATGCATTATAAAGCAATAATTAGCATTGTTTTCTTAGCCAAAAATCTCAAAATTGACAAAAATCTTGAAAAAAGTCTTTGGTGTATCCTTAATAATTCTACAAATTCAGTCAGGGAGATCCGACCCCCTCCCCCACCGAACTGCGCATGGTTTACTTTTTCCCTAAGCGGGCGACACAAATTAATTAATATACAGGATGTATACTTAAAAAGCGGACCTGATATTTTAGCGGGATTGGCGGATACAGCGATGCACTTACGCTATTTCATAATCACCGTTAATTAATGAAAGCGATATTATTTTTTAGGTCACCTGGGTAAACTCAGATGACCTATTGCTATCCGTTTTCGTCCGTCGTCGTGCGGTAACATTTGAACATTTTCAGCTTTTTCTCTGAAACCCCTGAACCAATTTCAACCAATTTTGGCATATAGCATCTATAGGTGAAGTGGAACAAAAATTGTGTATTTCATGGTCCCTGCCCCCCTAGGGCCTGGGGGGTGGGACCAAAACCTCTCAATTTAGTGCAATCTTTAAAAATCTTTTTCTTTACTACTGGACATCAAGCAGTCAAACTGTTGGTATGATCGTAATCAGCATTGAGTTCTCTACCAAAATTGTGAAATTCATGGCCCAAAGGACAGGGGTTCTACCGGTACATATGTAGTGCTAGGGCGGGGCTATATTATATAGTGAAAATGCATAAATACTTTGAAATTCTTCTTCTCTGCTCAAGAGCACTAATGAATTAACCAAGTGCATAGTTATGTTGAATATGGCTGCCTCTTCCAAAATTGTGAATTTCATGGCCCCAGGGTCAGGGGTTCTTGTGCTAAGGCGGGGCTATATAGATTAAATAGTGAAAACGCATAAATTCTTTGAAGTTCTTCTCTGCTCATGCGCATTAATTAAACTAACCAAGTGCACAGTTATGTTGAATATGGCTGCTTCTTCCAAAATCGTACATTTCATGGCCTCAGGGTCAGGGGTGCTAGGGCGGGGCTATATATAAAAATTATCTAGGGTCTGGGAAAATGAATTGTTTCTTTGAAAACCTTCTTTTCTGTGCTTGGGTATTAAACCAATGAACTATGTACATAGTTATTGGAGGAAGGATGCCACTTTGCATCAAGCAGTCAAACTGTTGGTATGATCTTCATGGCCCCTGGGTCAGGGCTTCTTGTGTTAGGGCGGGGCTCTGTTTATATAATGAAAATGCATTTCTTTGAAAATCTTTTCCTTCGCTCCTAGATATTATGCCATTTATCTAAGTACATATTTATGATGAAGAAAGCTGCCTCTTCCAAAATGGTTAATTTTTGGGCCTTTGGGTCAGAGGTTTTTGGAGGGGGTGGGGTACATAGTCTGAATATAAATTAATGCTTTAATATTCATCAACAATTTATGATGAAATAAAATTCTTGATAATATTTCCAAAATTTTGAAATATGTTGACCCAGGGTCAGTGGTTCCTGCGCGGAGGGATGCACAAGTGGTTACAAAGGTAATCAAAGTAAGCATGCTAAGTGTATAATTATGATAAGCAACGGTGCCTCTTTCAAAATTGTGAATTTCATGTCCTCAGGTTTAAAATACGAATGAAGTTCAATACGGGATACTCAGGTGACCTATAAGGCCCATGGGCCTCTTGTTTATTAATTTACTTGCTTTGATCTGCCAATTAACAGGCCTTGAACACCGAGTCTATTTTGATAGGCAAAAAGCCTATATAAATGTATGTAACACAGGCCTTTGGATCGCTTATAAAAATGTGTGTAAAAAAGATATATTTTTTTAACATCTCAATTTTTTTCTAAGCGATCTAAAGGCCTGTGGTATGTAAATATAATTCCATGTTTAATATTTTTTTTCAAATTCACCTAATAACATTTTTAGCGCGTATTATCACTTCGCTAACCACTCCATACCGAGATATAATGTCAAATTTTGAAGACGCTAATTTCTGTACACATACCATATATTAGGCTGATTATTTTCGTCACATTTCATCCACCTTTAAAACACCTTTTGTATTCTAGAAATGTTGCCCGCGTGGCGCAGTGATTAGAACGCAAATCGCGAAGGAATCCACCCATACGTCACTGGTTCAAATTCCACTGTAGGACGTGGCGTCCCATTCTTCGTACGGGACCGTATTAACAGAGTCCCTGTGTCGGAGTAGGTGCCGGCTCGATAAAGATCCCTCACTGACCAATGGCCCTAAGTGCCGAGTATAGGAAGAAATTTGAAGCTCTACATCGACATATAGTAGCGTCTCCATATGAGTGAAAAACTCGGGAGAGAGGGGCGCTAAACAACATATAATCAATCAATCTTGCTTTTAATACCCCCCCCCCCCCCGCTTGTAAATGTTGAGATGAATAAAGTTGATAGATTTTTTTTTTATCAGATTGTGGGATCCCTGTCAAAAGAATAAAGAATACCAAGTGGGATGTACGGGACTGGGAAGGAATAGGGATAAGAAAACGTATGCACATTAAATGCTTGAATTCCTTTGAACAGCAAGGATCCGGAATGATCGTGTGCCATAAAAATGGGACCTGGATAACGGACTTGGTTTGTCAAGGTTGAAAAAAAATGTTGTTTTTAAGTCTTTGTGTTTTTTAATTATTTACTTTCAAAATCCGTATCTAATACAAAATGTATCTGCTTACCTCGAGAACAAGAGGCCCATGGGCCATATCAGTCATCCGAGAACATTGGCTAAAAAAAAAAGCTAAAATCAATACTAGTAGTTAAACACCGGGGTCTGGGTTGAATTTTAATTTGAATTCTGAACTTCCTGAAGATACTTTAACATCAATATAACCAAAGCCTTTCCTGATCTTGGACATTAAACATTTTTATTTCTACATATTCCTTTTCAAAAAATCGCCATTGTGGCCCCCTCCTCAGGGAGAGTCATAACTTGAACAAACTTAAAGATGCAAAGACACAGATTTGAAGTTAATATTTTCTGTACAATATCACGACTTATATATTGTATTAGCATTTCACACAAAATTTTGGATTGGTTTGATTGTCACATCCTTGCACTTTCACAAAAGTTTATTTTATACTTAATACTAAGGAAAAGTAGCAATCTTGTGTATTAATAAAAATGCACGATTCTAAACATAATGATACAATCAATCAATATTATCGGCCAGTCACTCCATACATATATAATGAGTGATTAAATTTCAACATCATTTTTGTAAAAAGAACCAAAAGAAAGCCTATCATACAAGAAGGAAGCAGTAAAAACAATATCCTGTAAACACACAATATTAAGGTAGAAACAGTAGAACTATGTGATTTTATAGTTTGATAAGGTATTATCAAGGATTAATTTTACAATCGTGAATTGAGTTTAAACGGACCAATCAAAAGGGAAAAGAAGTGGTCCCCAGTATAAAAGCAAAAAAAATATTAAATTATTTTTGTAGCGACGAGAACGAAAACATTTGAATTTAGATGCTGTGGAAATAAAGGTTTATTAAAGCTCAGTTACTTGTTAAATCAATGATAACACTTAAATGTATCTTTGTAGTGGATAAATGTTATGGAAGCATTTTTATATTAAAGGGTATTTATATTAAATTTCTCAGTAATTGAATCTTTAAAAGAAAATTGAGGAAGATAGATCGACTGATCATTTTGCTGACATCCCTGAATAAGAGGTCCTAAGATGGGCCACAACGATTACCCGAATCAATACGGCTCTGCTATTCATCAGCAGTTTCTTTTTCTATCGTATAATCTTTTATATAACTTGTATCCCTATCGTGACCCCCACCCTACCCTCAGGGTCATGATTTGAACAATTTTACATAAGGATTTCTCCATATCAATTTGACTAATAGCTTCCTTGTTTTTGAGAAAACCGTTCACGGAGCTCAGTCCGCAAAGCACTCACTCAGTGATCGGGAGGTCGTACGTTCGAATCTCGGCCGCGACTGATCTTAGTCGATAAAATGTGTAGCCCACCGTTCTTTCACCGAGCGCCCTGCACTCTGAATCTTAAGCTGCGGGTCCTTCGGAGGAGACTTCAAACAACCGGGGCCCCGTGTCACGGCAGACGTTGGCAGGATAAAATCCGTTGCTGCTCAATGTCCTGGAGTATCGAGTAAAGGTCAAAATTTGGTACATGTATATGCTGACGTCTCTATATGGAGTGAAATTTTTTTCGAGCGGGACGTAAAACAATATACAATCGATCATTTCCTGTATATTTCCATGTAAAACTATGTGCTAATATTTCTCATTTGAGCTGAAATAAGGCATTCATAAAGACTGAGAATGAAAATGTCAATGCAGAAACTATAGAACACAATACTATTCTACAAGTATTTGCAGTGCAGTGTAAGAAAACTGTGCAAGATAAGCGATATATTAAAATTGAAGAGGAAAAGATTCTTTAGGGTCCTTTTTTTTTTAAAAACTTGCATATATTCCAAGTGTTAATATACGTGTGATTTTGTTTCTGTTTCAGTTCGTACTGATTGTAAGGATCACCTTGAGAAAGGTCACACTAATTCCGGTGTATACCCGATTTATCCTTATGGTACCGACTCCAGTCCTATCAACGCTTACTGTGACATGATCACAGAGGGAGGCGGCTGGACGGTATCTGTTATTTTTACGAATTAAGTTTTAAAATTGGCAAAAGAAATATTTATTTGTATCTCATTCTGTTGAGCAAGTGATTGATAAGGGACAAGAAACACAATCTGAATCTTTATTGAACTTTCCACAAACAAATATTCGTCTCTATAAAAATTGAATGAATAAGTAGATGTGTTTTTTGTTGGAAGGTTATACAAAAACGAGTGAATGAATCCCTGAGCTTTGAGAAGAACTGGGAGGCGTATAAGAATGGTTTCGGAACACAGGAACAGAATGTTTGGATCGGTAAATAAAAATCCTATGAAAACTGAGCCATTATTCCGATTAAATATTTGACAAATGATCCATTTAGGAACATATCAATTTTTTCAGAGGAATTTAAGGCCAGAATCTAGCACAGATTATTACATGTATGTAATTTACATCATGTTTTTGGTAATTCTCATTGATTAGTACTTAAACATTAATGTGAGGAAAACATACCATTTTACTTTAGGCCATATTACAATGCTTGTGTTGTGTCCTTCCCTATTATACATGTAATAAGAATCGAAAAGTCTAAGAAGAAAAAATACTGTAGAAGTACATTTTTCCGCGTGGTATTAATATACGCTATGTACGCGGTCACAAATTTTGCGCGGAAATTTGTCCAAGCGTACTTAATATAAATGTAAAGCGTATACTGACAGTCTAGGAAATCCGCGTAATTTTCTACCCGCGGATTAAACAGAAATGTAGATTCCGCGGAATTATGACCCCGCGGAAAAAAAGTACGTCTACAGTAATATAATTTTTAGGGCAAAGAGAGAATAAAATAAAATAAATGTCCAGTTGAATATGGAAAACAATCTTCATAATCGGTCAGCTGCTGTGGAATCATTGTAATTCATGGTGGTCAAGGTTCGTTTGTAACCAAATTTGACCTGTTCGTGGGGATGTAATTTCATGGGTTACTCGTAAATATAATGACTCAATGAACTAATATGATAACAAAATAAACGTTAGTGCAGGGAATGTAAATTCGTTGGTGAGGGTGACTCTCGAAATCCACGAACATTCACGAACATTAGCCCCCCACGAACAATGATGATTCCCCAGTACCTTGATTAAATTGAAAAAGAATATAATCTGTCACATTTTGGGGGAATATTACTTTTAAAACTGTGTGCATTGCAATATACACCTATTAATCTGTATACAGGAAATGACGTCATTCATCGGTTAACAAAGGGAAACAACTCGTCCCTTTATGTCTCCATCACTCTCCAGAATGGTACAAGTCTGTACGAGTTGTACGAAAAGTTCGCCATTTCTGACGAAACAGAGAAGTATAAACTATTTCTGACGGGACCTGCACGGGGAACATTAGGTAGGTGACAGGTAGATTGTTACACATAGTGAAATATATTGGCAAATTTGTCACATTAAGAGAAAAAAAGAAGTATATCGATAAACGAGAGGGGTGAGGGGGTGTAAAACGTGTTGTTTACAAAATAGTCTTCATTTAAACTTAAACGTTAACCTTACGTGCAAATTTGATTACGCTTTACATATCTGTAATATTAGGTATAAATTTGCGATAGAAGTGTGTTGATAGGAGTATTAAAAATATTATTTTACTTTCAGACGTCTTGTGTTGATTCTATGGAGTAAGGAGATCCATGAAATCCAACTTTTTTTTCTATTAAATTTCAAATATATAACATTACAAGTCAGCAGTTCCTAAACTATGATATAAAATTCCCATGAACAAATATTGCGTATAATCTTCAAAATTTGACCCGAAGAAAATTTTGTGTTTGTTTGATTATTGTTTTACGTCCATCTCGATAATTTCACTCAAATTGTGACGACACCACTTCCTGGCGGAAAGCTGCAAACCTTGTTCTAAACTTGGCACTTAGAGGCATTGAGCAGGGAGGAATGTTTTCGTGAAAACACCTACAGTTTCATTTGAAGTACCAGTCTTCAAGTCCCACAGTGGGATTCGAACTCGCGACGTAAGGATTAACGCCTCACTCCGCGATTCTAGAGGAGAAGCTCTAATCACGATGTGGTTCTACAGTAAACTTAAATTGAATGATAGAAATCTTTATCAGTTTGGAATCAATAAGTTCTGATGAACTAACTCGAAAGTGTCCTAATTGCGACCTTTTGATATATCACACGTACTTGGATATACAGATGCTAAGCAATTGCTTGGCTGACATGTTAACTTGTCATTAGACTGTAAATAAGGGACTCAAAGGCATACCGCCAATGACCAGGCAATTTTTTTAATCCCTATGTCCAGACCTGTTCATAAAACATCTTCCTTCCTGCCCATGCCACGTTCATACATATATAACTAACAATCTGTTGACATACAAGTTCCCTTCTTAATGAGAGATGATACAATGAAAAATTAGATGTTAAACTTTGTGTTTTGATGTTTTTAATTGTTATCTTTCTGGCCTTGTTTTTGACGTTTATTTTAATTTAATTTTGGCTAACGTGAGTTCTGTTTAATCAAATGACCACACTTCGATATGTTTATGTGATGCTATAATCTTGTAAATATTTAAAAAATGTAAACTTTGACTTTGATGTTTTTAATAATTTATCTCTCTGCAACCAGCCTTTTTAACTCTTTATTTATTTACTTAAAAAGACGAGCTATTTTATGGCGACTTTCTGTCTGCTGTACGAGTTCAATATCGTTTTGTGATGCTGTAAGATTTACGTAGAAGATAAGAAACGATTCAGCTGTTGCTGCTGTTATAAAAATGACAAGCGTTTCTTTCCATAGGTGGGATAATTGAGCCACTCAGTTGACAAGAATTTATAATGGATTAACAAATGTATAACAGAAAAGAATATTATCTGAATAATGAAGCTGTTTAATTTTAATTTGGTTTTCTGTAATTTAATAGGTGACAGTATGTTAACTGCAGATTCCCGCTTTCGGTTGCCTGGGATGTATTTTACTACGTACGATAGGGATAACGACAGGTCATCTGATTATAACTGTGCTATAAGGTTTAAAGGGGGCTGGTGGTTTAACAGGTGCTACAACGCCTTTCTGAACGGACCCTTGTCAACTACAGATTGGGCTTGGCCTTGGAATCCTAGAGTTATGAATGGCACATCCGTCAGAGAAACAATGATGATGGTCAGACGTCGCTAGGTAACAATATTCGGTGTTTCTTTTTAATTTATGATTCAGAGTGGCAGATTACGTGATACGCGAATGATTTTATTTTATGGTTATATGACATCTGATTTACCACTATGTCTTTATATTTTTAAGAGGTATTTTTTCATATATAGGGCGTTCGATTGCTTTCTTATCCACTCTCTAAGATGTATACTTTAGGGGTCTTTTATATTTAATCTTTCACTCACAGATGATAATTAAAAAAGGACTTCCTAAAGGATCTCAGAACTTTTCCCATGAAAGAAACGTTTTACATCTGTATTGCAAGAGACACAATTTTCTTTGACTTAATCAATTTCGTGTAATTTTTATGCCCCTCCCCTATTGAAAGATTACGGGGGTATATTTTGTCCTGTCTGTTGTCAAATTTAACCTACATTTTGCTATTAAGTGAGTGGGGCTATGGCTTTACGGGCTATACGGAGGCACCAGTGTTTCAAAAACACATATTGTTCTTGATTATAATAGACTTTCTGTACGTATTAAAGTGTTTTCAATAAAATTGAAATCAAATTACTTTGTTCTTGTTTTAAGAAAACTGCGATATGGACATACCTGCACAACTGATAAAAGGAGGATAGTTGTTTCCCTTACCTCATGAGTTCAGTTCACGCAAATCGAGAAACGCACTAGTGGGGCAAATTAAACCTTCTGTCGATATCAATGTTGTACATCAACATTTAAAGTAACTCAATGAGTCAAATTGATGTGCTTCTTTTAAGATATCAGTAGTATACAGAGAATATAGCTACGATATGACAATTAAACTGCAATTAAGAAAAGACTGCACAATAAAAGTGCCGGAAAAAAGGTGGTTTCTACCGTTTCGTTGTATGTCAATTAAAGCCACTTTTTTTTTAGCTCAAACTTGTAAACAACATTCAACTGGAGCATACATAGGTGAGAAATATGTTTTAACACCTTTTTAACTCACCTGAGCCAAAGGCTCAAGTGAACTTTTCTGATAAAAATTTGTCCGTCGTCGTAGCCGTAAACTTTTCACACTTTCATCTTTTTCTCAACAACCACTGGACTGGCAAATTTCAACCGAACCTGCCACAAAGTATCCTTGGGTGAAGGAGATTTAAGTTTTTTCACATGAAGGGCCAAGCCCTCTTCCAAGGGGAGATAATTATGTATTAATGAACATTTAATGGCATTTTTCAAAAAATCTTCTTCAGAACAATTGGGCCAGGAAAGATGAATCTCATGTGGAAGCATCCTCAGGTAGTGTAGATTCAGTTTTGTTCTAATCATAATCCCCTGGGGGTAGGGCGGGGCCACAATGGCCGATCACAGGTTTACATAAGAATAAATAGGAAAAGTCTTTAAAAATCTTATTCTCCAGAACCACTTGATCAGGAAAGATGAAACTCATGTGGAAGCATCCTCAGGTAGTGTTGATTCAAGTTTGTTGAAATCATGACCCTCGGTTGTAGGGCTAGGCTACAACTGACGATCAAAGATTTACAAAGGATTATATAGGAAAAATCTTTTGAAAAACATTCTCAGATAGTGTAGATTCAATTATGTTCAAATCATGACTCCCGGGGGGTGGGGCCATAGCTGACGATCAAAGATTTACAAATTAATATATAGGAAAAATCTTTTGAAAATCTTCTTTTCAAGAACCACAGGACCAGGAAAGATGAAACTTATGTGAAAACATCCTCAGATAGTGTAGATTCAATTATGTTCAAATCATGACTCCGGGGGGGGGGGGGGGGGGGGGGTAGGGCCGGGCCACAGCTGACGATCAAAGATTAACATAGGAATATATAGGAAATATCTTAGAAAATCTTCTCAAGAACCACTGGGTCAGGAAAGATAAAACTTATTTGATAACATCCTCAGGTTGTGTACCGGTAGATTCAAGTTTGTTCAAATCATGACCTCCAGGGATAGGGCGGGGCCACAGTGGACGATTTAAGTTTTCCATAGGTGTGAATACATCGGAATTTTTTTTTTAAAAAACTCTTATTCTTAAGAACCACAAAGTCATGATTGGTCATATCTTATTGTAAGCATCCTCATGCAGTGTTGATTGAAGTTTGTTTAAGTCATAAACGGGAAGTAGGGGTTGGGTAGGATGTGCCACAATTGGGGATCAAAGTTTTGCCTAGAAATATCAAGGATTTTTTTTTTCCCAAGAACGGAAAAGCCATGTTTAAACATAATAATTTGAAGGCATCTTCAGGTAGTACAAAGTCATACTGAATCAATTTAAATAGGATTCCCAGGGGTAGGGCTGGGCGACAATGGGGGGGGATGAATAAATAGGGAAAAAAAATGATCTGCTCAAAAACAGCAAAGGCATTTGTTTGATGGAAGCATCATCAGGTAGTTGGTAGTTTCAAATTCCAGACCCCCAATTCCCTTGTAAACTTCTCAATACTGAAGTGATTTTTTCTATTATTTCATAGCCTATGTGCTCAGGTGAACGATGTGGGCCATGGGCCTCTTCTTTAAAAGATTGAATCACAATTTTGTTTTACTTACAATCATTCTTTGGTACATGAGACAATGGTTACTATGGAAACACTTAATTTTCGGAAACCTAATACTTTTAGAAATTGAACAAAATTTACACGTCGAGTCATGCAAAAATTATACATTTGTCAGTTTTCCACTTTTATGCGTCACGGTGTCTCGTTAAAGTTATTGTTTTAAAGAATGAACTCTCAAGTGCCTTCGAAACACACTTTTTATAAACAAAAATAATTGTCTTTAATTTATGAGATAATTTTGAAATTTTGTCATTAGTTGAACACCTCTCACTTTTAAAGAAAGTAAATTGTGTGTAAATATTCTATACATTTTTCAATGAATTAAATTTAGACTTTAAACATCAATGTTACAATAGGTCATTAAAGTGACGATCGATTTTGTTCTGAACTTTTCTCTCTAACAACAACTAAGCAACAATCACACCAGTGCATAAGTCATAATCAGCAGCATTTTTAAAAAAAAAAAAGGAATTCAAATAGAATAACCGATTGTTTTCTCTCCCTGGAGAGCATGTAAAACATGCACTTCCTTATTAAATGTCTGATACAAATTACATGTAAAAGATGAAAAATAACGTAGCTATTAGAATCAATATAAAACGTGTAAAATATTTATTTTAATGCGAAGTAATAGTTGAAGGTGACAAAAGCGTCACAACGCAGGAAATGCGATAGCATCCATCCTTAGCTTTCCCCTTGTGCGTTATTCATTTTTAATAAAATTAATAAATCGGGAAGTTAACAAAAAATTAACGATAGAGTTTAGCTAGAATATTTTGAACTCGCATGACTGATAAAGTGGGAATGTCCCTTTATTTTCTTCTTTCTTAAATTCAGTATATTTGTGCCCAATAACGAACTTTATTTCTTTTTTGTGCTCTTTCAAAGCTGAATATGTTCAATATTCTTAGGTATAATTTAAAGACTTTGGATCCTTTTTTTATGAGAACACACATGACTTAATTAAAAACGAGGCCATTTGTTTTAATATCTATTGCACTTTGTTGTCGTCAGTCGTCCTACATAAACAATTAAACATGTTCAGCTTCTCTCTGGAACAAGTGAACCATTTTCAAGAAATTTTGGCCTATAGCATCTATGTGTGAAGGGGTGTTAATCTTGTAAAATCTAATACACCCTCCCCCCTTGACTTATCTTTTACAGTGTTATATTATACTCATCTTTTACAGTGTTATGTTAAACAATTCAATTTGGTGTGTTTTAAACCAGAGGCCATGAAATTCACAATTCATAATTTTGAAAGAGGCACCATTGCTTATCATTATTATACAAAGTTTGAAATGTGCAACTCTATTTACTTAATACCTAGGATAGATAGTAACATTAAGAGAAAATGCACTTCCACTTTATAACCAGTTGTGCACCTCATCCCAAATAAACCACTGAACCTGGGGCCACATATTTAAAAATTTTGCAAATTTTATCATAAAATGGTTGATTAATACCAAAGAGCAGATTTCAAAGCATTAATTTATTTTCAGACTTTGTAAACCCCCCCCCCCCCCCCCCCGACCCAGAATAACCATTTTGCTAGATGCACCTTTCTTCATCATAAATATATATACTTGGATCATTGGCATAAAACCCAGGAGCAAAGGAAAGAATTTCAAAGATGTATTTACACTATATAATCAAAAGAACAAAGGGCCACAAAATTTAAAAGAAGCACTCTTGCTTATCATAACTATTTATTATATAGTTTATTTAATACCCAGGAGCAGAGAAGAAGATTTTCACATTTTCAATATAATAACCCCATAACAAAACCCCTGACCCTGGGGCCACAAAATTCACAATTTTGCAGAGGCACTTTTCAAACTATTTACTTACATAGTTTATTTAATACCCAGTAGCAGAGAAGAAGATTTTCAAAGAATTAATGCATTTTCACTATATAATCAATAAGGCCCCACCCTAACACCAGAAATAAAAATTCACAATTTTTTAACTATTTACTTACATTTTATTTAATACCCAGAAGCAGAGAAGAAGATTTTCAAAGAAAATGGCATTTTCAATATAACAGCAATAGAGCCCCGCCCTAACACCAGAAAAATCTTTAAATCCATTTGTCATTAACTATTTTTTTATTTAATACCCAGGAGCAGAGATGAAGATTTTCAAAGAAATCATGCATTTTCACTGGATAATCAATAACACTAGAACCCCTGACCCTGGGGCCATGAATTTCACAATTTTGGTAGAGGACTCTTTACATTCAGGCCAACAGTTTGTCTGCTTGATGTCCAGGAGTAAAGAAGAAGATTTTTAAAGATTGCAATAATTTTAGTGGTTTTGGCCCCATATAAAATTCACAATTTTTTTCCCCTTCACCCATAGATGCTTTGTGCCAAAATTGTTGATACTATATGTTCAAATGTTAACACATGACACACGACGACGGACAAAAACGGATTTTATGTTAAAAATTGAACAATTTAA